ATTTTTGCTGGATGAAAAACCATTTCTTTTACCACTCCTGGCTCGCTACAGTTGCAATGCCTTTCTTTCCACATTTAAAGTTTTTCACATTTTCTGTATGAAGAACAAAACTAAACCAGAAAAAAAAGGATAGGGATCCATAGATATTTCTGCATTAAATTTCGGATAACACTTCACTAATCAGTCAATTTTCCTTTGAGACCTTGTTGAGTGAGATTTTCAAGACACATTTAAGAATGAATAAATAAATGCTCTTCCTGTAAATTGTAAATTGAATATGTTGGATGCCTTTAGGGCTAAATCAAACCGGCTGGTGAAAGTAAAACTTGAGAGAGGAAGAGGGGAGTGAAAAGAAAAGAGAAGTGGCTGTGAGGGCTGTGAAGGGAGAGTTCAGGGAATTTTTCTGCCTTACCAACTCCTCTCCCCCTTCTTCCCTTACAGTCTCCACCCCCTGTTCCCTCTGTCTGCGTCAAAGGATTGAAGACAGAAGAGTAGAGAGCAGGAGGAGGGGTGGATTGAGGTCTTTAGCAGAGGAATGTAGCAGTGAGAGAGAAGATGGCTATAAAAGGACAACACTTCCTGCACTGCTGTGATGTCACTACTAAGATATTTCCTCCTTCCTTTGCCTCCAAATCTGACATACGGATGCTGCTATTTCACCTTAATTTCTCTGAATTTCTTCAGTTCTCCTTCCTGCTAAATTCCAAACTATGGAGTTTGGATTTGTTAGAATTATTTTCCAAAACTAACATAAGCAGGAATGTTTATTTTACATGCAATGTGAGCAAATTAATTCCTATGCACGAGGCCCGGGAATGTACATTTAGTCTACAATTTCACATGGTTCATAAACTTTACTATATTTTGTTTTCTTGGCACACACATCTGGATCTGTCATTTAAACATTAATTTACCAAGTAATTGGTTGTGCTCTTTAAGTACATAAGAGCTTCATTATTTTCTTTGTTATGGATTTGGTGAGCTGGGTAAAATTTTTTAAAGCTCATTAGTATTTCAGAAAAGTGACAGTGATGATTGAGGGAAATAAATGTGTAATTAGGTCTTTGTAAATAAAGTCTTGTAATCATTGTGGGCTATTTAAATTGGCAGCGTATTGAACTTTAGATTATAATGAGTTTCTAATAATATGTGAAGCTAGTTGTGCTCAGCATTCATCTATGTAAAGAGTCAGGCTGTGATTTTTAAAAAGCACATCATCGACATAGCAGCTCATGCACCTTCCTGAATACGACTAACTACATTTGAAATTACTAGATGCTTTTTTTCAGTGCTTTTTCAAGTCTTTGGTGTTCCAGATGGCTTCTACCTAGTATTGCACTATTTTAATCTATTTAATCTTTTCAGGTCTCCCCCTTCAAATTGCACAAGAAAGTGAATCATAGTGATGATTCAACAAAGGTTGACTCCTCACGCTTCTGTGCAAGGATCAGCACCACTGTGAGCACAGGATGTTTAACAGTAGAGGGCAGTAATATAGCATTAAAGTAGACTGAAATATTGTTCAACAATACAAGTAGGATAACAAAATGTGTGACCTTGTCTATATAAATTTTGTTAGACCAGCTATTTTACTGTATGTTTCTGGTGAACTGCAGTTGCTTCAATATTATTGCTTCAACGATTAAATGCTGGAAACTATAAGGGGGAGTGCCTTTAAAAACATCAAATACATGTTTTTAAAGTGTTTTAATGCACGTTAACCCCTTCGGGCTTTATCTTTTCCAAGAAGGAAAAAACAAGGCAGTGTTTAGTGACCTCGTTGGTAAAGTAGAAGTTACATAACGTACTCCGTCACGCTCTGAATGGTTGACGAAGGCTTGAGGTTGAAATATTACTCAACTACAATGCTTAATCTGCATGTTGTGACAGACAGATAGGGAGGGAAGAGGCCGTTTTTTTTCAAAGCTATTAGTAAATTACAATCATACTCTGCTTGAGTTTACTTACTGAAACATGCAGAGACTCATACTAGCATACTAGCAATTACTATATATGTGCCACAGTGAGCTTTATATATTTACTAGGTATGTGTGTTTTTTTAAATGGATGCCAAATGCTGTCATTTTTCTGTAAAGCAAATTTACCTTGCCTTTGGGTATAAATAAAGTTACCTTGAACCTTGAACATTTTGATGGTAGAAATTTTACTTCATTTTATTTCCAGACAGTTTGGTCAAAAAGGATTTGATTGCCAAAGGTTGCAAAGTTCCTACCAAACTGGCTGAAGTTGAAAACAGGCTGCTGAAAGAGCCTCTTTAATACATGTAATAAAAGCAAATTCAAGTTCTTTTAGTTTTACAACTTTAGTCCCTGAAGTTTCACCTTGAACTGAAGTTAACTATTAAAATGATTTATAAAGCTCATACTGAGTGATACCTTTGGAACCAAGTTTTTGTATCATTGACTTTACTATCAGTCTGCTTGTGTTTATGATGAGAATGAAAGGCTGTTTTGACCTTTTGAAACTATTGCTCAAGTGTCTTGGGATACGATTATCTCAGTTATGGTTTTACCTTTAGACTGTATTGCATACAATTGCTTTGATAGACCTCGCTTCAGTGTGTATGTGTGTGTGTGTCTGTGTGTTCCTCTATGCATGCGTACGTGCCTTACGTGTATAGTGCTCAGAATCAGGTGACTTGGGTAAGGTCAGTTTTGACAGTAACAGCCATGGTTGATCAATAACTATTTCACAGAAAGCAGTGGTTATGTTAGCCATGTGTGTGTGTTGCAGTTCAAATGACTGTAACAGGCTTAAAGACATCGTGAAACGAAGAGTCAAACAAACACAGAAGAAATAATTGAACGGATTAATTACTATGACTTAAAACGCTTCCAGGAAAAGTACACTTCGCTGCACATGTGAGCTATTAGAAATTACTTAACCACAATGGCCAGCTTCTCTGTATTTTCATATATTTTCACAGAAAATTATGTTAATAATAAATTAAACAGTTTTTTCGTCTTCATTATTTGGTCTCATAAGAACACGTTAATGGACTTTAACCAGTCTGGCCTTATAGAACAGGCTGTGAAATTGTGAGCACACAAACACCCACTCATTCCTGCTTTTTTGGCTTACTGTTTACACTTTGTGGTCATTGTCCATCACCATAGCAACACATCCTGCTATTGATCAGAAGGGGAACAAAGTTGGAAGGCACAAGGCTATGAGGTTCACTCGGAGTCTGAAATCCAGCCCTTAAAGAATCTAAAGAATTGACAAAAAAATGGAGCTTCAGTCATAAATTAGATGTTATTGTTTGAACATAAAGGGTGTGGGTTAGGATCATAGCAGAGCTATCTTAGGGATAGGTGTGCCATACGTTTTTCACTCATGATTTCCTAAGGTTGCGGTGTTTTGTTCAGATTAGTGAAGTTTGCAAATGTGGATGAAGTTTACTCACTTTTGTTCAGGAAATGTCAACACAAGCAACGCATCTGTCACTCTGTTAATATTGGGAGTATCATGTGTATTGACACTATATAACCACATGACACCGTGATGTGGTTATATGTAACTCTGGTTACTAAATGATCTTGGTTATTTGTAGTATGTAGGAGACGGACAGCAAACAAGTTGCCTAAACTCTTTTTATTATAGCTTTTCAAGTCATTCGAGTGTCACTATCATATAATCCTGTGGCTGGGATAAACATGTATGGTCACCACAAACAAACCTCACCAGAATTTTTGTGGAAGCAGATGGAGAGCAATGACAGTGTTACCAGTAATACGAGTTAGTAGGAAGAAGTGTCTCCAAAACTGATTTCTTAGGCTCTTAACTTGGAGGGGGAATTGAACCGTCCCACATTTCTTGGAAATCCTGATTCAAAAGATCTCAAATCAATCTCAAATCAAATGGGAAAAATTCCCACATCGTATTTATCTCAACAAGCTGCAAAACTGTAATCAGATACATCAATGATTTGTTGTTTTTATTGTCCTAATCTCGTTAATGTGTCAGACAATTTCACACTTATCTCCCACATCGTCACAAGTGCTTCTTCTGTGTGTGTGTTCTCAGATATTCTGGGTGTTACTGTAAGGAGGACTTTTATTATTCCAGATCCCAATCTTGCTAGACAGTGTACACTTCTTTGACAGTATGAGGGCGGGGGCAGTTTGCGCAACAGTCTCAAGGGGAATGTAACATGGAAATTGCAACAGAGTGTTTTAACAAACGCCTCCTTAACTCGTAAATGCGCCTTACAGAAAGTGACGACAGAAAAAAGATCATTTTTTTTCTTCCATGAGATTTCCCACTGCTCAGTTTTCGATAAATGCTTTTTTGATATGTAAAAAGCAATTCTCCATTTGCTTTGAACAGTTACACTAAAAGCAATACCCTAATATCCAAAATTCAATTTAATGCACTGCTGCAAAGAGCTGCCAAAACATTGCAGGTTTTACCTGGAAATAAAAAGCTGTGTGATAGTGCGTATAAACACGGTAATCTAAATACCTGACTGTATACACAACAAAGATGTATGGCACAAAACAGAATCGGGAGAGAAAAAGTGGAGGACAAAAGGTCAAGGTTCCATATTCAGGAGACTAGTTATTATTTAGCTGTAATGCAGCAGAATGTATATTTAAGTATAACATGTATAGGCTTTAGCGCATTCAAAATCTCGATCTCATTTCAAATAATGTAGAAAAAAATCCTCAAAAAGTATTTGTGATTCGGGCTCAGAGGTTCAGCAGATTACTGGAAAGGTGAATTTCCCTCCATTTCTTAAAATCTGGTGCTACTGAAAACACAGGATTTCCTACCAACACACGTAGAAGTCAAAGTAGTGGTGTTTTAATAATGGTTGCTTCCAGTTAAGGGGAAGCCCAGCTCCAATGTGTCTAACTGAAACACTTAACAGAACTGGGCCTTCATCGGTACACATCTTCTTTCCTTGCTGTAACTACAGGAAGTTCCTGAACTCCGCATGTGAATGCATAAGCTGTAAATAACACGAGTCCAAAACATCAGCGTACAATCATTTCTTTATTGAGAATTTTTTTTTAAAATGTATTTTTCTTATTTTCAGGCAATCAAAAATATAAGATTATCTTTTCTACTTTGCTTTTTCTCACATTTGCATTTCACAAACAGTGAAGTTTTTTTTCCATAAATAAAGTACAAAATACAATTTTCTCTAAATGCAAATAAATATCATAATAAATATATCAGTTTAAGTTAAACAACACAAGGTAACCAATACCCAAAAGGAATACTGCGGTGTTCCCTGAACCAGGCTGTCAAACACAAGGGGGGAAATAAAAGATAGTGTGCAATTTACAAAGTAGCAAATATTACAGAATGTTTTACAGAATCAAATGTTATTAAGTGTATATATTCAGATTTGAATTCACTGACATACCTTATTTGTATTAGAGCACTTTGATCTTTGTGCATTCTGCAAGTTGTATTTGCTTCCACGTCTACAAAACAACAGACACACACATACACTCTCACATGCATATTCTGTACAAGGCCCACACGCACACACGTCCACACACAGACAGAGTGAAGAACGAAGCTTTGGTTGAATGCTACTGAGAGATTTGACAGGTTCTCCCTTTAGAATTAGCTGTAAAGTGCATATCACAGACACATGTCAGGTCTCACTGGTAAAGGCTACTGAATCAAACATACTGTTTGTGGCACAGAGCATAAATAGCCTATTAGGTAGGGAAAATATTCAAGGCACAGGAATCACTGATTATCACCAAAGCTATTTTGATCACTACCAACATTCACCGGTAATGTCAAGACCTGCAGATGAGTTAATTTTGACGGAAGACCGCATATATAGGTCTTATAAGCTACATGTTATGTATAAAAATAGATTTGGGTACTTAAATCATCTCAGTATGTGTAGTTAGTCTAAGATGAGCTCAACTTTACACACATAAATTAAGAACTTTAAGTGTTATTGTCGACTTGTTCTGAACAGTTCTGGTGCTGATGAAAGTCCAGATAGACAGAAAAGTTAAAAAGAAAGTCATTTATCTTTTGTTATTTCCCTTTGGATCCATTTAGTCAGACAGGGATAGGCGTTCAAACACAGTGAGCCTCTTGGTGGCTGAGCCATCAAAGGTCGGAGACTCGGTTCCACTGGAACTGCTGCTGCTGTAGGACTCCTCCAGGGAGTCCTCAGAGGAGAAACGCTGCAGTGAAGGCTTTACGAATGTTCCAGCAGCTGGAAACAGCATACTGCTGTCCTGGTGCTGCCCGTCCTTCACGTTGGTGAAGACACTGCTGTTGTTGCTATTGAAATTATTTCCATGACCACACACGCAACGTGAGACCTGTGGCTCCAAGATGAGAGGAATGTTATGGATGTCTCCAGCGCTCATACGGGTTTGCTGGCTGCCAAACGGGAATGCTGCTGCCTCACGCTGCACAGAGTCAAACACTGGGGAGAGAAGGTCAGCAGGAGGTGGAGAAACAGAGGGAGCACGGCTGAAACCCTGGTTAGGATCACCGAAGACCGAGGCGAATGATGGAGGGGAGGAGCTGCGAGAAGAGCCCAAAAACCCAGCGAAGCTGACACTCTGGCGGAGCTGGTGCCGTGGATTGTGAACACTGGGTGTTGTGGTAGTTTGCTGCCGCTGGAATTTGGCAGACAGTAACGGACCATCGCTGATTTTCTCCTCATGGATGAAGTGGCAGCGTGAACCATAGGGGCAGTAGCCAAAGTTATAGAAGGTTCTGCAGGGCTCTGTCTTGTATTTGGGGTGGCGGTACAGTCCTCTTAGTTCTGCCTCACCATGGGCAAACTGGCATTTGCTGCCATACTTGCAGCTGCCAGTCTCCTGGAAGCCACGGCACAGCTCAGTTTTGTAACGGTTAGAGGACACCATTGGTGGGGTCTGGGCAGAAACAGTAGATGAGGGAGGGAAGCCTGGTGGGGGAGGCACAGTAGTAGCGGTAGGGCCTGAGGGAAACAGCTCTGAGTTCTTCAGCTGTCCAAACGAAGAGAGAAGGCTGCTGCTGGATTCAGTTAGACTCATGGAGCGATCGGGACGGAAAGGTAGCTGTTTCTTTGTGGAGACAGGGGCCGGGCCCCAGATGGTTGGCCAGAGAGAGCTGCCAGTGTCGTCATTATTAACATGCTCAGTGCTCATGTTGAGGCTCAGAGAGCCAGGAGGGGAAGGGGTGAAAAAGGGGGCAGACCGATGGCTCTGCCCTGAGACTTCGTTCAAGGCCAGGTTGATCAAGTTCTGTAACAGACAGAGGAGACTGTTAGAATCCAAAACAATATATGTCTAATATTAATGAAATGCTGAACATTTTCAAAGTCTTTCTATAAAGCTTTATTTAGGATATTGGGTTACATAAATGCCAAACAAATAATAACAACAACAATAACAATAATGTAGCCAAATTAAATTGAGATTAACTGAAATAATATAAATGAATAAAATCATAGTTTGTGATTTTCCATTAGTTTACTGATACAGGAAGATTAAACTAGGGCACACAACCAACTGAGCAGCTGACCGTCTTAGTCACCTCATTATGTCTTAAATCACAAAGTGAGGAGGCCCTCTGTCATTTCAAAAGGTGTTCGCATCAAAACACCTTTTCAAAGTGTTACAGTCAGAGCGCCTAAGCCACGCCACCCACCAACTAGAAAAAGGGTTTTTCAAAACAAAAACAAAACACTGAAGTAGTTTGACTCACCTTTGTTAAGATATCGTCGAGCATTTCGGACATCCTTTTGGCAACAAGTTAAGGACTCGGGTCTGAACTCCAGTTGACTGTTGGATATATGTCCAGTCTTAAAAGTTAATGGTCGAGCCTCTCCTTTTAAGTCTATTTAAAAGCCCCTCCTATACTGGGAGGAGTTTCCATTCCCCCTTCCGGGATGACGCTGCTGCTGCCTCAAGTTTCATATGAGCTAAGAGATGGGCGGGACTTAAACGGTAGAAGAGAGAGAGAGAGGAAGAGAAGAAAGAAAACAGTGTATTTTTAACTAGTTGCGTGAAATGTGTCAGTTTCGTAGGCAAGGGGGCCTATTTACATAGCTCTCATACCCACTCCAAACCTAGAACGGCGCACACTTGTTTTGCTGTTTTTGCTCTTATTCGGTACCAATTAGTGTGAATGATTTTTAACCGCACAAACTCTGTGATACTTTTTAAAACCCAAAGCGCTCGAATGTAATGTGGCAAGGAAGGCTGTTTATTTAAGATGAATACACTGACTCCTTTCATCTCAAAGTACAGGCACATCTGTTCTATAGTCTGTAGTAGTTAATAGATAGTAATAAACATATGCAGACATATACTCATATATGACTAATGCCCAGCTTCCTGGAAGTGCCATCAATCATCTCTGATCAAATCCCTTGTCGCCTCTACACTATATCTTTCGCTCACATTACGTTACATATACATCACTGTGCTTTCTTGTTTACCAGAATACATGCAGACATTTCCCCATCTGTGGTCTGGTTTCTGCTGTGCACCAGAGCTCCAGCAGAGTCTAACCATTACCAGAACACAGACAATAGAAGCATTGATTACAGATGAAAGAAACCAATAGTGGTCTCTTATTGGTAGTAGAGTGTGGTGAATAACTCCTTCACGTCATGTGTAGCCACACGTTTTTAAAGCTGTTTTAATGCAAGGTTTGCACACATACCCCACTTTGGATGGCCCACAGTGGAAATGAAGCTGACACATAAATTTCACAAACAAAACAAAAGTAATTACCAGAAGCATATTGTTATTAGTGTTTAACCATTTTTTCTTTCCACAGTGAGCATTGCGTTAGCTATGTTTTTCTGTCTTTCTCACAGGCATTAAAAACATGTTACATTAACACTTAACTTGTTTATAATATTCTGGGGTGATTTTTTTTTTGTATAGTACGACTGTAGAAACACTCTGTGATTCACACATTGCATGGATCGGTTTCATACAGTGTCAAGTGTGAACAATAAATGTTCATATAGTCTTTACCCTGACACATGAAGCAGAAGATTTCAAGCCCTTTTTCATTTGCATTTTGCTGCTTAAGACTGTGATAAAATATAAATATCACATGTCTCTTGGTCTAGTTGAGTCAATTCAACCACAGCCATAGTGAAGACCGTTAACAGACGATGACCACTAACACTGTCTACAAGGAGAGTAATCTACAGAGGGTTATTGGTGAAATGGCTGCCTGTTCACGGAGCGTAGTATCAAAAGCTATTGATGGAAATTTGACTTGAAGGGAAGAGTATGATAGGAAAAGGTGCACAAGCAACAGGGATGATTGCATACAGAAGATTATCAAGAAAAGTCAACTCAAGAACTTTGGAGAGCTTCACAGGAAGTGGAGCCACCACAAGAGCTGTCACGTTCCTGATATCTTAGAAATCCCCCATAGTGGGCTATCATAAGGCAGAAGATGAGACTCCCTCACCCTCCAAATCCACCTCAAAATAAAAAAAAATTAACAAGAGCTGGAGGCCACTGTCAAAGCAACCTGGGCTTTAGTTACAGCTCAGCACTGCTAGCTTCAACACATTGGTAATTTTTAATAAAGGCGCCCCAGTTAAGCACTGAGTGCATAAGTGAACACACTATCACGTGCATCTCTAATGCTCGTTTTTGGGTTTTTTTTAGACGCACTAGTACATCATTTCACACATGTCAGTAAATCTAATAGCTTCTTATTTTTCTGCGAAACTGCTACGCTGTTATCAGCCAAATGAAACACCAGATTTTTTTTGTCGCTACTGCTGCGTCATCAAGTCACATGAGTCATATTTAGTCTAGTAAATGATGGCAAATATATTCTGATCACAGTTGTGAAACAGTAGAAAAGTCACAGTAAACAGAAGGTGGGTGCCGTGAGAAGAGCCACAAGGATTTTAAAAAAAACCCCAACAACTTTGCATTGTAAATCAAAAACACTCAAAACACTTTGGTAAAATTAACAGACTAAGCAAATCCTTCACTCCAAATCAAACGTAGCTCCCAACTGAAATTAAAGAGTTTTGCTTAAACAGGGGAATTATTAATGCATAAGGGGTAAGACTGGATTAACCTTGCAAAAGATATCTTCACATACAACATAAGTCTAGTAAATTAAACCAAAGCAGAAAATGAAAATACAGAAGTACATTGCTAGTAAATTAAGAGCGTGATTAAAGTTCCCACTTCTGTTTCAAGAAACACTGAGCCATAGCCAACCATAGAGTTTCGTTACAAGTTACCGCCAGAACACTTGGATGCTCTTCTTGCTCTCACTGTACTTTCTTAAGTGTACTCCCTCACAACAGCTCTCTGTATGTGTTTTTGAGCCTAAGTTTTCTCACTGTTAAATGCATAATGTTTGAGTTTTTTAAGTTACTGTGATGAGTTGCTTTTATTTTGGTTTTAAATCATTCTTGGGTACCATGTTGTATAAATGTGCAAGAGGGTTTGGTGAGAATCGCAATCTATATCATGTACACAACTCACAGGCCTCACATGCACGCCGACACTAACAGTGCAACTCAAGCCAAACGAGCCTCTCATGTTCAGCTATTAATAACTGCAGCTCCATATAAATAACCCCGCTGCATTTGACACAAAAAAGTCTGTCAAGAGGGCATGCAACAATTGTTCCCATCTTTGCTGAAAAATTTAGTTCGTCAGCAGGCAAGTAAGCGGGCACAGACATGAGGGATGCAAAATACCAGCACTGACATCTTGTATATGTATATCTTTCCTTTGTTTGTGTGTCTAAGTGTGGGTTACCTTACTGGTTTCTAATGAAAGTCTTCCCGGTTGCATAGATTTTCTCTTTAACAGGGAGTGTCACGTAGAGTTATATTCAGAAAAAATGCTGATGGTGCTTTCCAGGTTCTTGTTGTGTTTTTTCTTTCCTTGGTGACTAAGAGAGTCTGTGCCCAATGCCAAGTTTTCCACAAGGATGATTTTAGTGACACACCAGCAGACTTGAGGTCTTGTAACATGTTAGAACATGATCGCACATTTAATTCAAAGGAAATTGTCCCTATGAGGCAGGAAACTGTGGGAAAATTGTATTATGAGAAATGAAGACAATACTTTGTAAGATTGGGACTAATCCACAGAAAAATAAGTTAAGTACCAATGAGATTTTGAGTGCTCATGAGGTTTATTTAAACATCGAGTAATGCCAGTAGGTCATTTTCCACAGGTAAAAAGCCCAGACTTGAAAGCAAACATTCAATATATGTGGGGAGAAAATCCACCATGCAATGCAAATATGCATATTTGTATTATTCCCGTATCCCCTAATATAAATTTATTATGAAATGGAAAATCTTTACAATACGATTTTTATCTTCTTATTGTTTGCCTTATGAAAGGAATGTGCTGCAGTATGAATTTTATGCAGTTCTGTACCCACATCAGCTCTTAATTCTTTAGCTTTGCCGGTCACTTAGATGTACAGATGGGTCATTAACTAAAACAGGCCTGTGTTTACCCTTTTAACCATCCCCTATACGATTGGCTTTTACATTAACCCGCCTTTGCAAAATAGATCACTCTTTAAAGATATATAGAAAGTCTCCTGGGGGAATTTTAGATAATGTTATCCCTGCAGCTTAGTGGGTGATAATTTATAGCCTAATTACAGAGCTGGTGAGAAAATTTTCAATCTTGAAAATATCTCTAGCTGGCAAAAATATACTAGAATAGTAAATACACAAAAAAAGAAAAAAAAAAAAGAATAGTAAATACACCGAAACATGCTGTATTTTATTCCTCAAGGTTCATTATTCAAGAAACAACATAGAGGAGGGAAACTGGAGGGAACTTTTTAGGTGTTTGACTCACCACGGATGGCTGTGAACTGCCAAGTCATCATCATGTGGTTCAAGATGACTGGCAGGTGAGGTCAACATATATGGGAACACCCAACCTGCTATGGTTTCCATACTGCCTCTGTGTACTTATTTGCATAGAAGCTTCTCCAGCTTTATCTCTTTAGCCTTTCATTTCCTCTGTCCCTCTGTCTTAGGTCAAGTTGTAAGTAAAGCCACCGATAAATACGCTCTGGCCAGCTTGTCTCTCTAATAAGAGATACTTTGCAAATATTTAATCATGCCCTCCATAACATTGCTATGGTGACATGCCAAACATTGCACGCCTAAATGGGCACAGGTTCAGCAGTTACTTAGCGACAGCTGTGGAGCAGGTTTGCAAAGCTAATATGGCTGACACAGAAATATGATGAAGCCAAGCTGCTCCTGATTCTAAATTTAATAGTTGATTCATCACGGTGAAAGGCCACGGAGGGAATTGCGAACGAAGAGGAGAAATAGGAGCATTAGAAGGGAGGGAGGAAGGGATTTTAGCTGCTGACATTATGATGAGGGAAAGTACCTGTCTCCCCAAATGAATCCCAGACGCACTGTTTTTCCATCTTTATCTATGTAACAATTATGGATTCTTCTGTGTGGGGTGCACCGGAAGTGCACTGACCACACAGTACCACAGTGTACTGAGAATATGCAAAGACATGTGTTAAAATGAGGATCATTTGACTTAACAAAAGTGGTCTTTATAAGAACTGAAAGAACAAAAGGTCCTGACTAATGTCAGACTATAGATGCTGATTTAGAGCTGAGGAGGTAAACAGCGTGGTGCATGAAAATCATTTAAAATCTCCAGAACACTGTAAACAATGAACAACAACTTTTAACATAAGAGTTTCCCAATCACTTAGTCACACTGCGAAAACCTGTTTAGTCTCGCCTGCTTTCGATTCTAGTCCTAGCAGGTTTTATTTTTTGCTTTCATTGTGCAAACGCAGGTGTATTGACTTCTATTATTGTTTTTTTT